GTGTCTGTGACCTGTCTCTCTCTCAGGGCACAGCGGCCTGGGGAAGTCCACTCTGGTCAACACGCTGTTCAAGTCGCAGGTCAGCCGCAAGTCCAGTGGCTGGAGCCGTGAGGACAAGATTCCCCGAACGGTGGAGATCAAGGCCGTGTCACACGGTGAGGGGCCGGGCCGGGTCGGGTCAGGACTGGGGGCAGACGGGGGGGGAGGAGACAATATTACCGTGGCTCTTGTGAGCAACAGCTTTCAGGAACTGACCAGTAACAATAACGGTGTGATTCTAACGATGAAGATGGGAATCATAAAGATGATGATGCTGATGAAGAACAGGGCAGTGATGGTGATGAAGGTGGTGATGATGAAGATGATGTTGATGTTGGGAAGTGTGGTGATGACGGTGGTGGTGGTGATGGTGATGGTGAAGATTTTATTTGACAGTGAGCCGCTGGTACTGTTTTCCAGTGATCGAGGAGGGTGGAGTGAAGATGAAGCTCACGGTCATTGACACGCCAGGCTTTGGGGATCAGATTAACAACGACAACTGGTACGTGACCCACAACCTCTCACCTTTAACCTCCCCTTCTTTCTCCAGGGCTCTGGTCCAGTGTGTGTGATACTGTAACACTGTCCTGTAACCAGATATCATAGATATTACATCTCATCCCACAGTGCTGGTATTGGTGTAAATCAGAATGGTGTGCATGTACAGTATATGCACAGGATGGTAAGTATAAAACACCACTGGCCCTCTTTCCTATGCCACAATGCATTAGAAAGTCGCTATAGGCTATAAATATAGACATGAAATATTATTTAGTGCATATTATTAGTGCAGAGACAGTATGAATACAGTGCTATTACTGTGTTGTTACAGTGCAGTGACAGAATGAATATGGTGCTATTACAGTTTTATTATACTGTAGTAACAGTGTAAATACAGTGCTTTAACAGTGTTAATAAGATGCTATAGCAGTGTTATTAAACTGCAGTAACAGTGTGAATATGGTGCTACTACAGTGTTATTTCACTGCAGTAACATTGTTAATACAGTGCTGTGACAGACTGATTACAGTGCTATTATGGTGTTATTTCACTGCAGTAACAGTGTAGATACAGTGCTATTACACTGCAATAACAGTGTGAATATGGTGCTGTTACAGTGTAATTACATTGCATTTACAGTAGGAATACAGTGCTATTACAGTGTTGTTACACTGCAGTAACAGTGTGAATACGGTGCTCTGACGATGCGTTGTCTCGCTGCAGCTGGGAGCCCATTGCGAAGTACATCAATGAGCAGTACGAGAAGTTCCTGAAGGAGGAGGTGAACATCGCGCGGAAGAAGCGCATCCCGGACACACGCGTGCACTGCTGCCTGTACTTCATCTCCCCTACCGGACACTCGTGAGTACAGCTCGGCCCCGACACCCCGCTCGTGAGAACAGCTCGGCCCCGACACCCCGCTCGTGAGTACAGCTCGGCCCCGACACCCCGCTCGTGAGAACAGCTCGACCCCGACACCCCGCTCGTGAGTACAGCTCGGCCCCGACACCCCGCTCGTGAG